AACCTTCAAAAGCTACAAATCACACCCTGCCCTCCCAAACGCACCGACGCAGAGAGGTTGTTGAGCACAGTCTCCCAAACGGAGAGGACRGGATTCACCTCTGCTCAGTTCTGACCTCAAATACCACAACTTTCCACCCTCAGAATCTCTTTGTCTATGTTTTTGGAAGAGCTGTTGCATATTAGGCTTGGCAGAAAATATATTAGCCACTAAAAATTTCTAACTATATCAGTGTGTAAAGCCTGTTTTCACCTTTACTTACTATTCCACCTGTTTGTGCTATGCCAGCTGCACATTTTAATAAGAATGGCTTTGTAGTTCCAGCTTACTGATGAAAGTAATAAGCAGTGGCAGGTCTAGGATTATCCTTAATACCATCTATAAAGTACAGGCAGTGATTTCTTCACTGATGACTTTCTGAGATCTTGTCAGTTGGCAAGTTCTTAATCCAGTTTGTGTTTTACTGAAATTTAGAATGTTGATTTTTGATCACTGTGTCATGTGACATTAACTTGAGTGCCTTAGAGGTAAATATATATATACACTGGGTATGATTTATGTCCAAGCATCACAGTTTGAATATACCTGTAAACTCCTCCAAGAATGAAATCAGGCTTGTCTGATAAGGTCTACTCTCTTTAAACTTTTGATACTAATTTTATTGCCATGTACTCATTATTTTATTAGTTTAATTGCAGCTCAGCTTTTCCATTATTTTACTTGTGATTGACATACCTCATTGCCCTTTTAAAATATTGGTACAATATTGAGCAAGACTTAAGTCTGTCGGAATTTCTTTGACACACTTAAATGTAACAGAAAGGAGCATCAGGAGGACAAAGACCTCCTTACTCAACTCTTTACAGTAGTCTGTTGTAAGGTATATGGCTCTGCTCAATTTACAGTGTTTACCAAAGCACAACTGCTTAACACTCTCCTTGATTACTACCAGATTGGGAAGTTGTTCATCATCACGGTGTGATGAAAGCATATAAATACAGAGCAGAACAACTTGTTGAATACTATTTGCCTTTTCCTTTTTTTTTTTCATGCCTCAGTTTCAACAATTTTGTCATCACAGCTTACATCCTTGTTATAGGGAATGATGTGTGCCTATAGATTTCTGTTTGATTCTTGCATTTTATGGRAAAAAAAAAGTATTACACTGTAAATAGAGGTTTCATGTTCAGGCAACTGTTTCCATTCTTAAGTGCAACCTACCCCAAAATATCTCCTAGGGATGGTAGGACAAGTGTATGGTATAAAAACATACTGGCAAAAGACCTGAATGGCCAAACTGAGATTTTAGCAAAGCTCTGAAGAGACAAGGAGGAGGAAAGAGCTTGGGAGAGCTCTCCAGAGAGGGGCAGATGAGGGTGCGATCCGTCATACACTGAGACTGTGACTTTKGAGTCTTCTGCAAGGCTCAACAGATGCTTGATACTAATGTTTACCACAGTTCCCAAGCCAAAAAAAAGTTTCTAGAAATGAAAAGGAGAGAAGTCGTTTTAATCTGAGAATTATTTTTATGGTGGTAATTTTGGAAAKAGTGTAAAAATGTGTATTTTTTGCATCAGAAAGACCGCAGGAAATGGTTCTAGCCACTCTAGGTCTATCCTTTGACAAATGCAGTGGAGAAAATCCCAGTGGAGGCTGCACTTTGTCTGAGAGAGTCATGCTGTCAGAAGGCTCAGCAGACTGTAAAATTTTGGAAAACAAAAAGGCAAGGTAGCCAGCAGAACTGTTGTTCTCAGCAAAAATTACATTTATCACTGTTTCTGCCTTTGAAAGGAAATGATGTGAAACACTCTGCTTGCATTTTAATAAACCTGGGCCTTTATTTGAGGGAAAGAGACGCTTTATGCTTCTGTTGCTGCTAACATTGTTCTGGGCAGCCTGCTGAGATCACAGCTGACCTTGCCTTGACTGGATCTGTCTGTGGCAGATTACGCTATCACATGGTGTCTCATGCAGTGAGCTCCCCTTTGCTTATGCTGCTCCTTAGGCCAGTGAACCAAGCTAAACTGGTCTGGAGCCCTATTCTGATCTCAGGCTAATGAGAGCTGGAAATAATAGAAATTACTAAGGTTCTTGGAGTTACAGTGATATGAGAGAAGCTTGAGTCTATCTGTAGAACAGCACCTATGGGAAGCCCATGTCCACATATATATCTACAACCCATATCCAACTGCAGCTGTTGCAAAAGATGGTAGGATCTCCATTTGATTCCCTAATAATTTCTCCTTATAYCACAACTACAAAAGGTCTGGAATGATTCATATATCTTCCATACTGCCAAGGGATTTTTTATATAGAAGAGCTCTGTGGATTTAACTGAGTGACAGGGGAAACCAGGTAGACATGTAGTTTGATAATAAGCCACAAAGAGGAAAAACAGCATGGTGCGGGAGACAAGCCACCACGGTTACCAGGAAAGGTAGGTCAAGGCTCTTTCAGGCCAACACACATTCAGCCTTCCGGTGAAAGACTTGGCTGCCTTTACATGGCAGCTGAATGTATGGATTCCCGTGGGCAATTGGTTTTGGTCTGAATCTATTTGACAGCCTTTGACCCAGCTTCCTGGCCAACTTAAAATGACACATCCAACATTACTTGGCATTTAGGTGGGAAGTGATTTTTCTGTTCTGCCAGAGGTCTCTTCTATTTAATGTCCTGTAAAGGAACAGACTGCAAATAGTAATGACATCTTGTGGTAGTTGCTGAATTATTACCCTATGATTTAGCAGAGAATTAACTGCCAAATTTCATTACATTTCACTCCCTCCACACTGCCTCTAAACTCAAGATCACTCTTAAATTTCAGCTACTCCTAAAAACCGGGCACAGCAGAGGTCTAAGACCTTTGTCTAAGAGTTGTCTTTGGGGAAAAAACAAATTTTTTGATCACTTGATCACACAGGTCAGAAATTCAAAGCCATAACTGATTAAAGGGAAAGAAAGATTATTCAAATATACGTACCAAAAATATTAAGGCTTTGATGGTTATCCAGTGCAGAGGGGACCTGGCCCACAAAATGAGTGTGTCTTTGATGGAAGAGCTAAAGAACAACAGCTGTGGAACACCTGGCATGGGGTTTGCAAACAGCCTTGATGAACAGCCACCACGTGCCCCTTGGAGGTACAGAGATGTGTGACATTACGACGAGTCACTCTCCATAGTCTTGTGGTGGACCCAGTTCACTTCTACATACTTCAACTTTGGCACTTTGTCATCTGGACTGCAGCAAAATGTTCAGGTGTCTTGTGCTTTTTGTTAACTGTGCAGGTATCCAAAGCTCTCATGCTGTTATGTGCTTAATATAAGCTCTGTGAAGAACTTGCACACTTCACATATTAGCATCTATAATCATGACATTTTACTGATTGTCCTATTCAGCCTCCCCAAAATCACGTTCCTGTCAATACACTCCCTCCAGTGTTCATTCCAGACAGTTTGTATAGTCCTTATCAGCATGCAGTGGCTCAGCTTTTAACAGGGATTTTGGATGTGGACAAAATAGTAGTAATAAATAAGATTAGCTGGAACAGTTTAGGCATATATCTCCACAAAAGTGCTACGATCCAGTTTTTCCTGTTATGTGTTCACTGGATATCTTTGGGGCTTGCTGACTTTCTGGTTTTGTTCTACTGTGACTTCTCAGCTGCTTTTTTGATTTTGGACAAGATGGCTAAAGCTACAAGACCTCAAAAACAGATGACTGCTCTGTTTATAGAGAACTGTGCTACTTTATCTCACTTCTTCCCAGCTGGGAGGAGAGAGACAGTAAAAGACTATCACTTAGGAAGGACTCAGAGTTGATAGAGAAATCACCAGCTGGTAAGATGAGGTGAAATAATGCTGCTGAGAGCTGGTGGTGCACAATGTGCAGCAGCTGATCAGTGCTATGGGTCTCTGCATTTGGGTTGTGGGGCTTTGTTTTCCCCATTTTTCCATTTTATTGACACACAGATCCTGGTGTTCATACTGGGTATTGGAAATAATGTGCTCTGTATATTTCCTTTATATTTGCAAAAAAAAAAAAAAAAACCAAAAAAAAACAGTGCAAATAAAATCTGTAAATCCACACTTGCTGGACTCTCTGTAGATGGAGAAATATAAACAGACGAAGGTAATCATATGGCTGTACAGTTCTGTAGYATCGATCGAACGATAACTATATTGATCTGGCTTTTTCCACGGGATGATGCCACCTATTGGACATTCTTAAAAGAGGCAAAGCAATTTAAAGAAAATTATTTCTTAGTATATATAGTATATACTGATTTGTTTTTTAGCAAATCTGGCTAAAATTTTGACTTTTTCATATAGTTCAATAGTTAGACAAAGTTTTCTACTGGGACACCTTGACTTATGATACCGTATTAGAGAAAAAGAAAGAAAACACTGGAGACACTGACAAACCTCTGGACAAAGAAAACGAAGTTCAGAAAAAAAATACAGTAAAGCTCAACAAGATCTTTCTATCCATTTTTTTTTCCAGTGGAAACATGAGCAATGTATTTATTTATTACTTAAGTGTGGTGACCAACAGCTTAATTAACCTAGTACTGCTCTTAAAAATGCTCTGAAAACTAAATTTTAAAAATGTTATGTATTTTAAAATGAAAAATACAGAACAAATGTTCTGTATTTTAAAATGTTCTGTAAAAATGTTCTGTAATTTATCTTGAGGAACAGTAAGAAATCTTTCTAATACTGGCCTTGCAATGCTTTCTCCTTCAATGAAATGTCTCCTGAGCTCTGTCAAATTTAGATGGAACCATGGAAAAGTGGAAGTCAATGCCGAACACCCATTTATTGTAACATCACAAGATGAAGCCATAAATATTGGTCAACTTAMAAAATAATCTCTCTGATTCGATAAGCTTGCTCAACAACAGAAGGGAAGCAGGATTTAGGATTTAACAGTTCACAGAAACAATAAAGAAAAACTATTTTTTCACATTAAAGCCGTAAAGATTTTGAATTTTCAGTCTTCTGTTAGTGTCTCTTTCTTTTGAAAAGAGAAATGATTTGCCAGTTAATAACGATGACAGACAGAAACTGTAGGATGTTCAATATCAACACAGTTACATGTTCTTACTACACAAGATTTTTAACAATTCAAGTATATTGTGATCTAAAATGTAGGTGTATTTTGGCTTATTCCAGGCTTACTACTCATTTTGCAGTACTGAAAGCATTATAGCTAACAGTAAAAATATATAAGACTTTCAAGTTCACATTACGATACTTTTTAAAAAAATGTATAAATGACTCATTTTCAATTAACTTGATTTACAAGGATATGTACAATTCAAGTTAGACTTGATTTTAAAGTTAATTTAAGATTTTGCACCTCTATATAAAAACTTTCATTTTCATTTCATTTTCAATGTTTGACATATGCTCTTAGTTCCTCCTGATGTTTGAAATCCTGTGATTCTGTGAAATCTGGTATCCATCTTAGCCTCTCCGACCTCTTACAAACTGTTTCACTTATAATCTTGACCTCAGTCTGCCTATAACAGGTTTGTTAGTACAAAATTCTGCCCACCATGAAGGTCTGTTCAGAACTTTGCTTCCTTGAAGGATCTCAGCCCACATATTTTTATATAACTGAAAAAAAAAAGAAAAAAAAAAGATTAATTTGTACAGAAAACAAAACCAGAAAAATCTCTGCAAGTTTAAATTATTCAATAAATACTTGGTTGAAATGGGATTGTGATAGAAAATCTAGATAACATATGCGCTAGAATGCTGAATATGCTAGAATGCTAAATATCAAGGAAAGGGACAAAACTTCAAACCAGTATAAACATTAGATTACCTGTGTAAATYGTTTAAACCCTCCTTGGCATAAGAAAAGTTACTTTTGTTTTTTTTTTTCACACTATGTATGTTGTTTTCCATTTGACAGCAATTGTGTTATCAAACGTAGAAATTCAGAAGCCAGGGCTAAAAATTAAACTAATCTTCATACTGTCCACACCTGAAGACTGTATCTGAAAGCACTCATGTATGTCAACACATCTGYGACACGTAACATACCTTCTCCTGCAGACAGGAACTGTCGGAGCATAAGAAATTCCTCTCTCACAAGCAGCCTGTGAATTTGCCAGTAATTTTATGAGGGATAAATAGGATTATAGAAATATGAGGAGGCCTGTGTCTTCATCAGTAAGTATGAGTACAGGATGATACAGTGAAAAAGCAGTCAGTGATGTAAAATGAAAAGACTTTTATTGATATGAAGAAAAGGCCTGTCCCTATAATATTTGTGATGATTTAAATAAAGATTGAAATACTTTATTTGAATATATTTGCACCTCAAGTATCTGGGCTAGAGCTTACTAATACTATTTAATCCGGTCTATTGTCTGACAAATTTTTTAATTAATTTTGAAATAAATTTAGTGAAAACTTTACATTCTTAAACTGGGATTGTCACAGCTTCCTTGGGGAAATGATGCTCAGAACATTAAAGTTTAGTTTAAAAAGAATGTGAAATTTTATTCAGTGCTTACGTATTATTCAGGCAGCTTAAAGCTGCTTGTTACAATCTTGGAAACGTTTCTCCTGATCCAGTTAAGGATCTGTGGCTCTAAGCCCAAGCCACCCTACTGCACCACTACAAGGATTAGCCTGAATTAATTTAATTTGCCTATTATGCTTGTATATCCTATTCTATAGCACATCATAATTTGTACTGAAATGTTTGTTTTCCTTTCTCCTTTGTATTCCCTCTCTTTTCATATGAAACACAAACTGTAATTCAATCTATACAATCAAATTATTAGTTAATGAATAAGATGTGTGAAAGAAAGAGGAAAGTATGAAACTAAAAATGATCATGGGAAAACCAATGAAAAATTTATACATGTAATTAGAAAGTTATCCAAATGCAAGTGTTAATGCCACAGAATTTTTGATAAGCTTCACAGATAGCAACAAGTARAGAAACAAATACAGGCAGATAGGAGACAAGCAGCTTTATTAAGTACTTTATTTGAATGAGTGACTGGCAGCCTTTTTCAAATTTCAGCCAAAAACATTTATGGGAGTTAAAAATTTATGGACTGAGTTCCTAAAACTTGCCTGAATATCCTATACAGCCTGGATTGGACATCACTTATCACTACTCAAACTTACTTTCTCAAGATATTTTTAAATAAGACTCTTAAGATATTACAAGAAAGCACTTARGCAAGGAAGTCAGTAATGTTTAGATTCCTATCTGTGTAAGACACACATTATTCAAGGTCTTTATAGCTATAGGTGAAATGGGTTATTTGAGGTTTTCAAAAGTCTTGAAATGCAGTGCTGCTCAACTGAAGATAGAGCAAGAGCTTTATATCATTCTTCTGCAATGATTTTTTTTTAAAGAAATTCTGTAAGAAAATTAAGCTGTATTGATTTCAGAGACGGATTGATTTTGGTGAAGTCTTATCAGTTCTAAATTCCTAATATTACTGAATTAAATAAGTCTCCATGGCTACTATATTTACATTAGAATTCAGCCCAACCTTTTGYTGGAATGCACAAAGTAAATCTTCCAAATGACTATCCAAGTCCATCACAAGACAGCTTTATCAGTTGCTGATAAATTATCTCTAGCTGMTTGCTAGAAAATATTCTAGGAAAGAGGGCTGTGTACATGTCATATGTCCCTAATACCACTCACAGTCCCTGTTAGAGACAGACTATGGGGAGAAAACGGGCTTTTGGCCATTACAGATGTTCTTATAGATGGTGTTCCTTCTCCCAAAACCATTTCTGAAGCTTCTTTCTCCTCAGCCTTTTTCATTAATTGAATCCTCAAAAAAAAAAAAAAAAAAAAGGAAACAAAGCTCCCGGGGATGACTACGGTCCTCCTGTTGAGATTAAACTAGCATCTACAAAATAATGCTGTGGTGCTAGTTAGTAATAAACCCAAACTACTCTACACTGCTTGATTTAGTTACACTAAGAAGATATTTCATGTCAGGAGATCCTGAGATGGTCAAAACAGAGGTGGGAGAGTAAGGAAGAAATGCTGACTTCTGTGAATCTGTCATTATTGAAATAAACAAAACCAGTGATTCTTAAAGTCTTTTTCATTACTTCTTCTGTGATAATCAATGCGTACATTTTACAATCCTAATAATCCTTAGCTCGGGGCTTGTGCTTCCTTGGCTATGGAACATGAATCATGACATGTGCTTATATCAAAGGGTTTCTAAGAGCTTCGAGTGACAAGATTTTTAAATGCTTTAAGATTGTTAGTTGAAAGGCTAATACTAAAATTGTTTCAGAATAGAATCACTGAATCACAGAATGGCTGAGGCTGGAAGGGACCTCAGGAGATCATCCAATCTAACCCTCCTGCTCACCTAGGAGGGTCTACGGTCACCTAGAACATGTTGCACAGGATCATGTCTAGGCAGGTTTTGAGTGCCTCCAGAGACGACYCCACAACCTCTCTGGGCAGCTTGTTCCACTGTTCGGTCACCTTCACTGTAAAGAGTTTTTTTTCCACATATCCAAATGGAAATTCCTGTATTTCGAGCTGTATCCATTGTCTCTTGTCCTGTCAATGGGCGCCACTCGGAAGACTCTGGTCTCCCTCCCTTCAGATACTTGTATGCAGTGATAAGATCCCCTCTCAGYCTCCTTTTCTCCAGGCTAAACAGGCACTTTCTCTCCTATCTGTAAATTGTCTTGAACACATTATGGCCACTTACAAAAACAATCCCTTTCAAGATGATTAGATTTATAAATATTAAAATAGGTTTTATTACCTCTCCGTTAGCTTTGCCAATGGGAGAGTTGAGAATAAAGTCAGGAGGAGCAAAGACATCAACCAAAGCAACGGCATCATCTTTCAACTGTTTAAAAACAAAAGACAAACATTCGCCAACTTTTGCAGGTATCTATGGCTATCTGTGCACTGCAGAGCAGCATTAAATTACTTCCATAAACTTCCAATGGCAGCTTAAAAGAAATCCCCTGCAACAAAATCAGCTTTATTTTGCTTTGCTTTTCTCCCAAGATAATCACCAAAAAGAGAGTGCATTTTAAATGCTTTCCTTTTTCACCCAGGAGTTAAAATATGTCTTGAAGAGCTGGCATTGTTCCTGACATAAAAACAGATGTAAGGACTCTAAAAACATAACCTCTTTGGAAACTTATCTTACCTGTGTAAAATCTGATACAGTGTGAAAAGCTTTTGTGTTCAGAAAAAAAAAAATCATGAACTAACAACATAATAAAATATGCAGAACTCTATTAGTTATCGCAAGTATTTGGCTGGTTTTCCAACAAAAAAATGGAAGGCCACAAATGAAATAGCATCATTTTGTAAGACATAYGTTTTTTCAGTGTTTGACCAAAAAAAAGGACTAGATTCAGTGTCACTGGGTTATTAACCTTAATATTATTTAGAAACAATTRAAATAAACTCCTCATAACCCCTTGAAGAACACCATAACATATTTCTTTTATCTAATATTCATATATCGTATTATCCTATCCGAAACAAACAAACAATATTGATGGCTTACCCTGTAGCAAAGTTCCAAAATAGCATTCTGAATAAATTTTCCAGCTTGTTCACCGGAAACATAGCCACCTACAAATATATGTACAAAAAAAAAAAAGTCATACAAATAAGCTTAAATTAGTTAATGTTATACTATTACAAAGGAATTTATCAGTTCAGTACCCAAGAGACTAAATGCTCTGGTGTAATTTGATTGACTGTCTTTCATTGATGAGCTGACTCCAAACCTAAGACATTTAGAATCATTTTTAGGAACAAACTAGATTACAGCATCTGCCTGAACATTCCCTGTCATTTCCTGCAAGCACTGGACCATACCAAAGCTTGTGAGCATTCCATCTTCTCYGAGCTAGAGTGAATCTTTTGGGTTAATTTATAGCTTTACAACTTCCAAATCCCTGATCCTGAAAATTTTGTCCAGAATGACTGCTTTACATTATACAGGCTGTAAGAAAATGCTCTAATGTAAATCCTAATTACGATTCTCTCCTCCTGCCAGGAGACAACACTTGGGAAGAAAAAAAATCTAATTTTAAAATTAAGACTTTTATAAAATTACTTGAATTACTTGCATAACGTGTGCAGGGAGTTGATCTTACCTTGATAGAGCACAGCCAGATGCTTACTTAAAGACCAGAGGCCATAGAGAGCACTGAGGTTCTTGAGCACAGGCTGCAGAGTAGACGGCACGCTGGGATCGTGAGTGTAGTCATGGTATCTTTGTAAGACTGTTTGCTCAATAAAAGCAATCGCTAATGATCGACAGTAGTACACCTTAGGAAACAGAGAAGGGTATTGAGTAATAAAATACAAGAAATGAATATCAAGCTCAAAATAGTGCTCTGGGGAAGCTAGTAGGGATTTGTACATTTAGATCTGGTGATAACATAGCTTAAGATTTAAGGAAAGTCTAACAAGAAACACTAAGAAAAAGCTTTTTAAAAGGTCTCTGCAAAGGTTACTCAGAAAATGCTTCATGCAAGTAGAAATAAAACCTTAATTTTTCAGTGRGGTCCAGTTTGGGTAGTCACACCAGCCTTAAGATAGGGCAGATCTAAAATATAAGCAGTGTAATTTGGCAAAATCTTGCAGCCAGACTCTGTGAGGGAGTCCATCAAAAATTGGTCTGATGATCAGACTGTAGGATGATCAATAAAACCATACAACTATAAGATGACAAAAGGAGTTTAGATTTGAATTATTATTATAYAGAATTCTATAAAGGGGATACATTTTTTAAAGAGTTTCAGTAACCTACTGAACTCATCACAGTCCATTCTACTAATGAAAAAAAATAAACCTGATCATGTAAGCATGACTAGATTTAATACAATGGCCAGCAACATGTTTTGAAAGAACCAAGTGCTCTGAAAGAAGAAAGTGCTTCTTCATGTCCAGAAACTTTTATACTAAATATGTGTAAACTTTTAAACTACTGCTTACAAATCACTTTCACATGTTTTTGAGACATKTATAGCAAAAAAATCTCCCTTTCTTGAATTCAAATTGAAGGGAGGAAAGAGAACCAAATGACCAAAGGTATTTCAATGCTATCTCCATGGGAATTGTGTGCCTAAATGACTTGAAAAATGTAGAACAACCGAACAGAGGAGCAAGGTGAGCAACATTTACACTGCTGAGTAAATGACCTTCTCTAACACACTGGCCCTAGAACGAGACTCCCAAGAGCTAAGTGCTGGACAGATAATCCGGCTCAAATTTCTTGTACTTGTTATGCTGCATGCAACTAGAGGGTAATGTTTGTCCCAAATTTGACAACAGAAAACTGTCTCTACTGCTGCTTCTAAGGTAAACACCGGAAAGGCTTCCTTCATTCTCTTGGTAGTTTTGCACAGACCAAACTCTACTGAAGCCAGGTTGGCTCTTTCTTAGTGCACAGCTGAATATCCCTTCCTGCAGTTTTGAAATGAGTTTTGCAGATAGGATCAACCACACCGGCCATCTTCAGGGAACAGATCTCTCCCCTCAGTGACAAATGCCAAGTGCTCTTTTCTTGGATGCTAGCCAGGATTTCTCATGGAGGTAACAGAAGTGTTTAGGGAGCTTGGGGATACAAACTGAAATTTGGAGTCATGCCATTTGTACTTGTTAAAGCTCACTGGTGAATCTGTTATTTGTAGATTGTCAGTGTTTCCTTTTCAGGTTCCAGTGCTGTCAGTCTGGTATCTTTCATGAGTACTTTGCACTAYAGAAATTGTGATGGAAAAGACCTATTAGGTCATAGAGTTTACCTACCTGCCAGAGCAAGATTCTTTCCTACAGTATGTATTTGGCCACAAGAACAGATGGAGATGTAATAATCAGATGCTGCAGTAGATTTAATAGTAGCAYATATAGTCTTCAAAAGTTGTGATTTCAAACTTAGACACACCACCYAGCACATGCCTGCACTTTTCTGAAGGGAACTATCGTGGAAGAGTTCTGTTGATCATAACTGTCCTCCTTCTCACATGATTAATACAATGCACATGGACAGGAATTACATTTTATTAGTTGTATGATTTGCTGCTTTATGCTTGAGGAAATTATACTTCATGACATAATGGGATAAAATGAACAGGATCTGGCAAACTTGGATGAAAGTACACATAAATAAAACGAAAAAGCTGAACAAGTGTTACCTGACAGTTGTTTCTTGCCTCAAAATCACTTTGCCCAGCCTGCTTCTCCTTGTTCAGCTTTAGATCACTTTCTCGGAGCAGATAGCAAACCAGCCATTTATAAGCTGCCAAGGGAACTGCAGAAAAGAAAACCAAAATTCTTAATATTTTGTGACTTTTCTGGTCACAGAAAGCAGAGTGATAGCCATGCAGGAGAGAATTYACAGCTTCAACCAGTACCACCTCACTCAAATAGGAGGAATTTAAATCCCTCTTGAAAGATGTGAATTCCTTCTTGCAATATATGAATATCCCTAGGTCTAGACATGCTTTAAAGAAGCATGATGTAGAAGTATGTGGATATCTGAAGTAGCCAGTGTAACCCAAAACACTGGAACTTTACATGTAATTGCATGTTAGTAACAGCTAGGTATAGTGAGATTGCAACTTGCAGTGAAGACACATCCTTCTGACCATACCCTAGTTCCAAATAGCTCCAAACTACAAGACCAGGTATCCAGAGCTCAACTTAAACCCAAATACTATCTGATTCCTTCAAAAATTTGTATGGTATTTTCTTTCCTAGTTTAAGACTTAGGTATACAAAGTTCTGAGTCTCTTCTGAGAACAGAACAAAAACAGAGGATAGTCAACATTTTGGGGACTCATCACTTCCCAACTCTGAGATGATGCTCCCTGCTGTGAAGCAGGTGACTTCTGATAGAGCAAAGGTGGCTGAACATAACTGCAGGTGAATTAACTGCTTTGTATAAGTGTGTTATATTTTTAAAGCAGCCTGGAACTACTAAAGGAAAAAGGGCTACAGCTTAAAGACCTTGTATAAATCCTGCTTGTCTGTGCCTTAGCTTAAGATTTAATGTAGGGATATTATGTATGCAATTCTGAGTGTTCACATGCTGCCTGAGTGCAGGCACCTAGCTTAARAGCACAGCTTTTAACAGACCACTGCAATAAAGAGATTTAGATATTTTACTAGTACGATCTGGTTCAGTAGGATTTACAAAAGAGGACAAAAAGCTTGTTTACCTATTAATTTGTGGTCTGATGGATTTCTCTAGTAGGAGATTTGAAACAAAGAAGAACGTACACAAGCATTTTGAGGTAKTTTTTTTATTATCTGTGTATTCTAAGTTATTCAGATTTTCCCCCATAGCTATTATGGTAATATACCACAGTACCTCACCTTGTATCTCGCTTAGGACTCTGATAATTATTCAAAGTTCAGCTTTTATTGCAAATATTTGAGCATGAAAGTGGTTACTGAATTCTAGGAAGCAACCCAATTGTCTCTTATATACTCAGTTCTTATATACTTAGAGTTTTTATATATAAATAAGTGGAGTTTCTTCACCTACTATGTTTCTAGTTTCAGAGATTTACTGTTGCTCAGTTCCCTGTCTCTATTTTGTTATCTCTTCACTTTATTAGTTTTGCCTCCATTAAGTARTTCAGGGTGAATCTTAAATCTCTGTATCAGGCAGGAATTTAAGTTTTTTTAATCAGTTCTACAACAGCAAGAGTTTACCTGAAGAGTCCATGCAATCTTCAACACTAACGGCTGTGAATTTCTGGCCAAGGATGTGGTGGTAGTTCTGCAAAAAGTTTATTGTTCCAAAAGGGGATTCAAAAGGAATTTTCTCTAAAAAAAAAAAAAAAAAA